TCTCTCTCACTCTCACTCTCCCTTAAACACCATCATTTTCCTACATAATCCAGTGTCGTCCTCCCTCTCTACTTTCACACCCAGGATAATTAGTATATGACCCTCACTCAAACCCTGCCTTGCAAGAGTCAGACAGAAAGGCGGATGCCATTCCCCCTTGAAATAGTACTATTAGCCAAAATTCAATGTTTTCTGGTCGATCACCGTCGAATCTGTGTTAGTACTATTTATGATGCAGCGTGGCGAAATCAGGCGCTCGTAAAAATCATAACATTGAAGAAACTGACATTATTCCGCTGGTTTGGCAAATTTCATTGAATTTTTGTTTTTTGATTCAACGCCTTTAAGGTGAATTTAAAATACATTTATGTGTGGATTTTTGCTGAAAAACATTTATTTAAGGCACACAAAAAATGAAAAACTTTTGCATTTTACAAGGACTCTCAAACTTTGGAAGTCACCACATTAGGCAGCCATTTTCTCGCTAATTTTACACTGAATCAGGTGACCTCCACCTTCTTCAGTCACTAATAACTTGACTTCTATTCTTGATAGGTGCGTACTTTCTTCGCTCGAAAGGAAGACAAAATGAATAAGCTTTAAGGTGATATCAATAACTCCTCAAGCTAAAAAAAATTTAAAAAATTTGTTGCGGATAAACCTGTTGCCGCTTAAATGACCAAAATTGTGTCGATAGTGCCGTAAAACATCTACTCAATCAATTAATTTTTTTAAAATGACGAGTGCGTGATTCCACCGCGTCGTGACCCACTTGGTCTTTCACCCTGCCACACTGATCCACCATGATTGGAGGTCATGTTGTGGAAAGGAGAGATTGCTCTTTGTTCTCTAGCAGAGCTACGGTTATTAGTAATGATAATATTAGTTTTTTGTGAACCTGGGCGTGGCTGTCTATTCCTAGAATTAGTCAGAGGGAAGTAGGTGCTATACGTAGCAACTGGATCAGCAGAAAAAAATGTTGCACGTTCGATAATCAATTTAATTTCACTTTTGGAATTGTCTAATTGCCTATATATTTTGTTCACCCCGTTTAGCCATGGGTGGTTGGCGGGTGCTCTGCTGTGGTTTGCGTCTTCTTTCCTATCAAACAACTTTACTGTTGTCCTTATCTCCCCTCCTTCTTTTTTTGGGCATGTTACTCTCTTGTAACACGTACTCTATTTTTCGGCACTTATATGGCATTTTTGTGTTACAAGTGCCGTAAAACTCTTACAAAAACAAAAGTCGTTAATCAGGCGGGCGTCAACCTTCACCAGTCAAGGCCAACCACAACTGATATAGCATTCGAGTAGAAAGAAGAAGAAATGCCATACTAAACATAGTTTTACACTGTTCAATATTTGAGAAGTTGAATAAAATCATCTCTATTTTTATAACAAAGTATAACTTGAGAACTGTTTGTTTTCTTCAATGAAACAAAAATAAAACAAGCCAGACATAACACACAGACACAGACACACACACA